TATACATACCTAACATATAGTATCTTTTTAACATGTAATATACATAACATTACCTAGAAATATTTCCAATTATTATAATAGTATTTGACATAGTTTTTAAACTCAAAATAGAAAAATATTTTTTATTTATTCCTGGCCCTTTTATTTGGTATCATTATTATTCTGTATTAGTATACAAGACACATCCTTTTTGTGTACCTTAAGGAAGTAATTTCTTCTTACCTTCAAATTACGAATAATTTTTTAATATTTTTCAAATTTCGCTCCAATATTTGCTTTAGTCTGAAAGTGATACATCATTCGATTGTCACAGTTGTGAAATTGTTCGTCATCACCTGCTAATCAGAGATTAACTCAATTTCAATCACATATATAAATTGTTAAATTGAATTTGTAATGGGCATAAAAGTGATTTATTGCCTCAGATCACAAAATCGGAAAACTTTTCACATTTTCTGAATAATTAATAGGAAATTTGCGTGAGTTCGATTCAACGCTAGTAAGAAAGTAACTCTTTTTTTTTTGTGATTTGCAAGAAAATAATTTATCATGCCTTGCATTTTAAAAGTATTATCGGTACACTGTAAAAAAATGTTTGATAATGTATAAGTTTTGCCTCTCATGTCAGTTTAGTAAACAATTTTTATATTACGTGGGTTGCAACAGTAATCATTCGATCCTTAAGCTGATTTTATTCCATAAAATAGTCATTGTAAATAGTAAATATAGAATAAAGTCATTGAATAATCATGATGCGTATGTGGAATCACAAAGTAGTCAATGAGATGGGTGAGACTCTGCAGAAACCCCCAGCTCTCAAAGAGTAAAACTATCCAGATGCACTAACTCGGAAAAGGCTTCACATTAGTAGAATATAATAGAGTATGACATTAGTAGAATATTTAGCTGCAAAACTAAATTAAATAAATCACCACCTAATTTCTGTTGCAAGATGTTTAATGTTAACTTACTCAGAAATCCGTTTGTAGTGACTTCATTTTTTTAGTAATTTACAACATACTAACAAAACTGTCATTGAAACAAAAATATAATGTGACACTATTACATTTTCGGAAAAGTATTTAATGTATTTAAGAATCCTAGAAAACACTATTTTGAGGATTTCGGAGAATTATTTGAAACTGACAGAGGAAGTCTCACAAACTTCGTGAAGGCAACACTAATATTTTTGGGAAATATAAGGATATACACAGTTATCTTAACTGTATAAGTAAAACTCTTTGAAAACTTTAAAACTTTTAAAACTTACATACATTATTAGGAGTGTAGACATTCAAAAGCCTTGGATAATTGCAGCAGTTACATATTTCCACCCTTAAACCAATACCAACCAAAATGTTAATCAGAATTTTTTATTTTTTAATAAATATTGTTAACTAATTTATCAAAATACTATGTTCAGACACACCTTAATTTCACAAAAATCTTAATTTCATCTTCCTTTTAGCGAAATTAAATTGTTTTTTCCATACAAAATTCAGTTTTGAGGTTAGAACGAAATTAAAGAAAATGGCTGAACTTAAGAGACATTTCAAATGCAACTATGCGTAAGATAAATTTCAAGAAAAAGATAAAGTTGAGATAACGAAAAATTAACATTTTGCAAAATAAAAGTCAATGACAGTTGATTTTAATAAAATCGGGTAATACTTTGAAAGCAGTATAAATTTTTAAATTTGTATATGGAGAAAAACCTGTAACTGTTACAATTTTAAAATAGAGTGAAAAATAATTCACATACTTAAAATCAACTAAAGCTAATAAAAATACTGAATGCTATTCTTTGTAGTTATAATAATCAACTTTTAAAATTTCCCAGATATAAATGACTTTTGGAGTATGTAATTTTTATTATTCGATTTGTAAACAAAAACCATATGATTTCCTTAATTTGGGCAGTATGAACACTTTCTAAATTAACTTCATTTCATTTTCACGAAATTAAGAAAATTTGGCTGTCCAAACATAGTGTAAGACTTCTCTGGATATTTTCAATATAAATAAATTCATTTCTTAATTTGTAAAAACCATTTTAAATTTTATTTTTAAAATAAATTATAGAAATTTGTACTATTATTAAAGAAAAGTTAAACCTTATCAAAAAATTTACAAAGAATAACTTCAAATTAGGCAGACAAATAAAAACTTAATTCTTTGTCATTTCACAAAGCCCTATTTAATCCATTGTATGTCCTTTATGTATGTAATGCATAATATTTTCATTCTCATATCTTCTTATTATTGCATGACTTAACTTAAAATACATTCATGAAAGCATATTTGTTACAATTTTCCACAAAATTTATTATAAATAAAATCCTTATTTAACAGAAATTTTATCGAAATGCAAATAAAATATTTTACTTTGTGCAGATTAAGAATAATTAAAATGAAAATACTGCATATTGCTCAGAAAATAGTATTGGAGGGACTAAATATAATGAAAATATTGCATATTGCTCAATAAATTGTATTATAAAGATAAATGCTCTGTCTTATATTGACAAATTCATTGAAAAACCCAAAGTATTCTGTGAAAAATTTTAATAAAATATACAAGGACATTTTTTACATAAATGGCATCTAAAATTTATAATTAAAAGTTTAATATTATCTAAAGATGAAAAATATCTAAATAAATCAAAATTAATTTAAACATCTAAAGAAATTTTATTAAAAACAGTTTTAATTCATGAATATTAAATAACTTTTAGCAAATAATAAAAATCAAATGTATGAACATAAATACAGAAAATAATGAAGGATACGTAGGAAGGGCTATTAAAGTTTGAATGAAAGAAGTTGCCATCGAAGAAGTTGCCATGTTTGACTAACACAAGTTGGGTATGATAGAGAATCGTTTGCGTGTACGGAAATTGATTTATAAAAATTTCTTTGCAGTTCAAAATGATGTGTTCTAATAGATACACTTCTGACGTTATCGCAAATTAAGTATATTCTTATTTATTCAGAATTATCTTCTGAAAATTTTAAAGAATATCAGACAAATAATTTTATTAAAATATACAATGAGCCACGTTTTTTTAAAACAATTTTAACATCATAAAAATATAATATATAGGCATATCAAAATTATTTATTCTTCACGCTACTCTATACTTCTTGTGTTCAGCTATGGTATTCAAGAATTAATTGTATAGAAAAGAACATTCACCGTTTAGTTAATCCTTACTGCTTTAATGCTTTAGTAAGTATTGTTCTTTAATTTTCTGTGTACTGGACAGAAAATATTATTTAAAAAATATACTATGTAATCTAAAAAAAACATTGCACCTAAGAGAATAGTTAGTTAGTCAATTATTAAACACTTATTGCTTTCTAAGTTTATATAATGTTTTGTGAGCTTTTACTAAACATTGTCAGGTGAAAATCTATTTGTTGAATACGAAAACCATTTATTACTTATTTTTAATTTTTAAAGTATGATAAAAAATTTAGAAATAAAACCTTAAAATTATTTTACAATATTTCACAACTACACACAATTATTATAAATTACACAAAATATCTTTAAAAAGTAAATCATTTTAATTTAATAATTTTTTATTAAAATGTTATAGAATGGCACTTTCAATTTACTTAAAGTAAATTTCCATAGATTTTGATTTAAAAAAATAAAAAATGAAAAAGCAAAAACTGTCAATCTTATGTTATATATATAAAATATATTAAAATGATCCTTTTCGTGGCAGTTGATAGGGGTAGCACACATTCTCCAAAAGTGTTATAAGAATATTTTTTTGTGTCTCTGAATCCTCTAGAAGTACAAATGGAAAGACTTGTACTTTTCATTTAGTTTAATTATTTTTTATTCTTATTCTCCATATGTTTACAACATATTTACATATATTAAACACTTATAAAAAAAATAAAAGTACAAAAGATTAACCCCCTTTAAATACTGAAGATTCTGTTACCGATAGTACTATCATACAGATATGGTGAGGAACTCATCAATTTTACCAGCTAGGAGACGTTGGCATACTGGGAAACTAATAAATATTACCGACTAGGCCACGTTGGTATACTAGGAATTAATTAACGTTAGCAACTAGACCATGTTGGTATACGTATAACTTCAAGACAGAGCCTTGAAGTTAAATGCGAAAATTGACAGGCTATCCTACTTACCACTATCTAATTTTAAAGTAATCAGTCTCCGCATGGGGAGGTACGCAGATCTTAGATCAATCACTGAATAATCATGAAGCTTATGAGAGATATACAAATTAGTTAATGAGATGGGAGGGACCGTGTAGTACCCCCAGCTATCAAAGAGTAAAAGTTCCCAGTTGCGCTGACTCGAAAAAAAGGATCAACATACATACCGTTGGAGATGTGGTCGATCGCGAATCTTCTGGACCTAACGTCTCTTGCAAGTGCCACCGTGAAATCATCTCCAGTTAAATTTTTGCCTCTAATATCCCATTCTGCTTAGGGAACTTCTGATTTCGTTTCCAGTTTCTACGGTGTGTCATTCATCTCGAATTTGTTATTGCATATCAAACAATTCTATTGTTTGCGAAATTGTTCGTTGTCGTTCAATTGGAATAACTCGACAAGTGAATCCCATCTATTGTCATGATCTCAGTGCCTTTGATTATCAACAAAATTTCTATATAATTCCATCTATGCGTTTTGTTGTTTTGCTTATGCACTTTTTGCATATAAAAACAAAGAATTATTTTCGGTATAAATTCAATAAAAATACCCAACAGAAAATAATTAGTCTTAATGTTAAAAATTAAGTACACACAAAAAAATATAATTGATAACTATTAAATTTACTGAAAAAGTGTTTGTTACACAGTTTTTTCATTGTGACGATGTTGTTGTTTATTACACTCGTCTCAATATTCAGATACATATCTATTCGAAATATATTTAAGATGATAAAGTAGGCCAAACATATTTTATTATATATGAACAAAATAACATTTCGAAATAAAATCAAAAAAAATGTTAATCTAATTCTATTTTCGATTTTAAAAAGTACCTCTTTTAAACTTTGGCGATAAACATGGATTTGGGAAAAATTGTTGTCTTAGATGAAGTGGAACTGTTTTTATATATACTCTACATTTTTTCCGCACTCTACATAATCTTCTCTGCTATTATGTATCACATTTGCGAAACGAAAGCTTTTAGGACTTATCAACAAATTTCTTGTTTGAGCTTATCTGACGATGATCAAAATGTTGCTACCTCAGACATTACTGAAGAAAACTAAAAGATTGTACCGTAAATATTCCAATTTTTCTGTAGAGCTCCTTCTCAAAAATGTGCAGTGAAAGTTGAAAGGTGATTAATAAAAAAATTATTAACTTAAATCTTAATGTTTTACGTTTATTTGTATTCAGTTTTCCTAAGCAATTAAATTTAATTATTGGACGAAGCCAAAACAGACTTAAGGTAATATTTTCTCAATAATGAATTGTTTGGAATATTAATTAAATTAAGCACTTATAGAGTAAATTACACATTTTTGCAATTTAATGGAATCTTCGACTACAAATCAACTTCACAAAATTCAGAAGGTGAATTTATAAACAAAACTATTGTTTAGAGACTGTAATGCCTCAATAACATTATTGATTTTATTTTCAGATATAGAAATATGGAAGGAGTTCTATATCAATTAGCAGAGTATCCGAAACAAAGTTAAGCAGGAAGTTATTGTAACATATAATATAACTAAAATCAAAATTAAGCAATAATCTAAACAGGATACAATTTTTTTATACACAAAATGTTATAAAAATCTCAATATTGCTGCATCGAAAACATATATTTTCATTTTGTTATTTCATTCTCATTGCATGGAAATAAAAAATTGTTCGTATTAACTAAAAACTTACAATTGATTTTTCTGATAATTAAAAAAATTAAATCTGCACATAACACTTGAATAAATTATATATACGAATTAAAAAGATTAGATACTTCATCCAATTTTCAAGCAACTATGTCTTATAGACTTTTTTCTACCATATATTGTTACAATACAATTATTTTGATAATAGCCGCCCATGTGTAAATCATCAAAGATCCAATAAAGATACAACTATTTGGATTAGGTAACCAAATACATGATCACACTTTATTGGACAAAGAAAAAATATTCATTCAAAAACGAGGTGTATAATAAAATAAATTATGGAACCGAACGTCAAGTATATATTTTCATTGTATACTCATATTTCGAGGTTAAAATATATTGCTGCAATTAACAGGACTACTAAATTGTAAAGATTGTGTTATGATAATCCTCATATGTGGATCATCTGTGTTTGACTATTTCTTCATAACATTCGGAGCTGCTAAATTTGTAAATCTTGGTCTGGCTTTTGTAGGCAAAAGTATTTCATTTCATTTGTACTACACAGGTCCAATAGTATTATAATAAAACAATATGTCTAAAATGTCTTTAAGGCATTGTTTATGTTATATTTCTAATGTTTGTAACCTGCTTGCGTATATGAAAACATTTCCCCTTACTGTTTTTTTTCTTTCAATTCTTGTCGTTAGAATTATCAATGAACTAGAGCATAATATGCCAAGCAGATTATTATTTCCATAAAAATGAAAAATACATTTCCATGGCAAAATGTCACAATTGTCATTTTAACGAGTTATTTTTCTACGAAGTACCACTTCAGGAAGGGTGTAACTTTTTTGTCATTATAAAAAATATATAAAAGAACCATTACCGTGTGATGATTTTTATTATCCTTTAATGCAAACAAATAAATTCTATTAAAAAAATTTATAAATAATGATTATTGTCAATGTGTCAACAAACTGTAATATTTTTAAATTGTTGCTTAGCTTCAAAATAAGGATGGCAACCAAAATAAATGGTTTTACATTTAATGTTTTTATTGTCTTAAAAATCCATTTATTATTTATCAAAATAATTTCAAAATTTTTTCATCTCATTAACTTATGACTAAATTAAAAATTGTTTAAATACAAACTACTAAGTAAGAGACACAAAGCATTATTGTCTTTAACTCAAAATAATTTTTTAAAGTACAAAGATAGACAAAACTTTTAAAAACACATCCACTCAAGCTATTAGACACAACCGTATAAGTTAGTCATCCCAAACTTTCAAAAAGTTTTCTACAACTAAAAGTTTATCAAAAAATGAAGAATTGTCAAAAGGATAAAGCAGATATAGTACCTACATGGTTGAAAAGTGAAAAACAGTGAAATCCTATTTAATGTACGTAAAAAGATAAAATAAAAAATTGTTGCTGAAAGTTTTTTGATGGAATTATCGGCTTACCTTTATATACGAGTAGATATTTAGAAAAGTTTTAAATTCCTACAGATGTGACAAATCTTGATTAGGCAATTTGAAAAAATGCGTTCTTAAATAGTACATCATCTTAAATGATGCATTAGGAGTGATTTTAGGTCTTAAAAATTCCATCTAAAAAATTAAGATGATAAATAAAGATATTTACTTCAGTCAGCAAAATTTTATTGTAATTTTAGAACAGCATTTGCTCAGCAAAAATGAAAACATCCTTAGCATATATCTACATCTCTCAACATTGTATAATACTAGCTTAATCTATTCAAAATTACAACAGTAAATTTATAAAATGTAATATAACCATAAGAAGTTCTTAAATTGGGGATATGAAATAATGGGTTTCTCTTGCCTTGAGTAAAAATTCCTTAAAATATTAAGTATCTTTGAATCCAAGCTTTCGCACAGAATTTAATACAATCGCATTGAAAGAAATTTTAATTTTATTTTCGGGATTATTTTTTTTTGATTAATTTCAGCTTTAATGATTGTAATTGTGATTGTACATTTTTTTAAAACAAAAATATTTGTGCTGAAATTTACATGTGAACGTATTTTTTAAATTCCAAAAATTAAAATGAATATTCAGATATATAAATACAAATACAAAAGCCAAAAAAAACTAAAATCATTTATTTTATATCCTTTTTATAACTTCCATTTATGCTATGAGACGGTATGAAAAACTTTTTTAAGAAAATCCTTTCAATGTAATAACTATTCGGATTTATATATGTAAATTAAAAGAACAAATATCAATCCAAATATATTTTATCGCCTCTACGATGAACTGTAACTGTGTCAGCACTTGAACTTATCATTATTACATATTTTGTAGGCAAATTGTGGTTTAAATTTACCTCCCTTAGAGAATTTTCATTTTCAGTCAGCTCAAAACGCTTACCTCGAATTGTTAATTCAAGCTTAGAAAGTTCAAACACAACTATGTCAGGTAAGTATCGTACTTCGTCGATGACAATAGTTTAGGTTTTTTGATATGAAACTTTGCACAATGAAGACACTGAAGACACTTTGCTCAATGAAGACACTGAACACTCGAAAATATAATAACATTTTAGAGATGTGTTATTTGATATGTTATAACATGTCGTATTGATGCGACGATCCCAGTAAGATGAAATCATTGGTCATTAAAATTACTTTTTATTTGATATAAATAATCTGTTTAAAATATGTTTCTCCATTAAATGAAACTTACATAATCTTTATTTATATTTATTGTTGATTTTTTCCGATTCACCCACTGACTATTAGACTGTTAAACATCTTTAAATATACTTGCTAAACGCCATTTTTATAAAAATATTCGGGCTTGTATCAAACTATCAGGGTGTAATAATGAAACTCACTTAGAACCGGTTCCCCAAGATAAAAGTTAGTTAATGGATCAGTAAAACTTGATAATGTTATGTATATAATATAAAATCATTGTCGTTTACTTATTTCATAAAGAAATTTTAATATCACTTCCTTCTTTGTGAAATTCCAAATGCTCTTACTGTCAATACAATTTTTCGAGAATATGTACTATGTAAATTAAACCAGCTTCTTCAACGATAAATAAAAATAAGATTTATCATATTTGGATTCATTATTAGTAGAAAAATCTTGTATTTTTTCAAAATAGATGTCCTTAAATCTAACAGATTAGTTAACATAAGACTCAAATTAAGTAGATATTTAGATTATTAGAAATTAAAGTTAATAATTTGAAAAATGTTAGTTCAAGACTAACTAATAAAAACTTAGTGTAATTTGTTCTCCAGGAAACAGTGAAGAATATATTTCAGTAATCAATACTGAATTAAGTAAGCCGTGGTATGTCATATCGATTAGTAGCACAAAATTAAGTCAATGTTTTTAAAAATTGAAAAGATTAGTTTAACAATAGTTTTTTCTTTATACTAGGCTCCTTTTAATAAGTTATTGTAGTCAAAATATATTATTCAAGCATTAACAGATTTGCGTTTCAATTTTGTATTATTTGGTTTTGCAACCGGTATTTCATATCCGCCGATAAAATTGTAAAATATTATGATAATTTAATGAAACATGCTCCCAAAGTCATTAAGAATTTATTGCAAAAACAAAACAAAAACATTTAACAAATAAAAATTACTTGGTTATGAATTCCGCAATTATATTTTTAAATTAAGTACAATATAATTATTTATATAGATGTTTGTAGTCTATTTGTCTCCATTATTTTCTCCTACAATTAAGATATGTGGGAAAATTACTTAACAAAAATTGCTTGTCATAAAAATACCACATCCTCCATATCTTTTAACGTCAATTTTTCCTTGTGGTTATAAATTCAAAAGTCACTTAATTGTATTTATCCGCCTTTTATTTTACTATCCATATTAAGTGAATCTTAAAATATTGTCATATCATGTCCGTATCAAGAATAATTAAATTAGTACATTAATGCATATTGTTATAAATCAACTAATTTTGTATGTTTGCAATGAAACTAATAATATTTTACATTAATTGTAAAATATTATTTTCTTATCTCAGAAAATTGAAGTTTCATAATTGTTCCTCACTCTCAATTATGAAGTTAAACTCACTCACTGGAGTGAGTTAATCCACAAACGATAATAAAAGAATTTAATTTTATTTTTTATATTTATGAAATTAAGTACATATATCTTAAGTAATAAATATGTAATGTATTTCCGCATTTTCCATATATGAAAACATTGTAATTAAAGCATTTGAGAGCTACAACAAATATTAAAATGGTGCCTACCAAAATTATAGAAATAATAGGTAATACAACTTTATTAATATATAATATATATCACCTATGATATTACTTATTGAGATTACTAACCTGATTATCAAAATGGATATGCAAACCAACTAATATAGTGATTAATATATATTAGTCACTTATATAGTGATTTCTAACCTAATGGCATCAATAAAACAAACGATTTTTTCTATCATAAAAGTCTTTTTATTTCTTTTCATTTTATTTGGTCTGTAAATCTGAAGTCCTCACTAAAAAGGAGTGAAAAAGACTCCCAAAATCAGTAGAAATTTCTTTGAAGAAAACCAACAAAAAATTTTCTAAAATATTTATTGGGGAATTCATTTCATATCTTCGAAAATTCTTCAACAAAATATTTCTAAAAATTTCTAGAATATTTTTTGAAGAATTCCTTTTATATCGTTGAAAATTCTTCAACAAAAAATTTGTGACTGTGAAACCCGTTTAAGTATAAAAATATAGGTATAAGACCTCTGAAAAAAATGGTTATGAAAGCATTTTATAATTTTTTGGATAACTTTTTCCTTGGCATTCCATGAGTTAGTAGTTAAGTTGGTTAGTAGTTAAGTTCACTTTCACAAGTATCACTTAGTGTATATTAGTATGCATTAGTTTTTATAATTGTAT